CTATCATGATCATTAAATATATTATTAATATTGCTAAATTCTATTAGTTTTGTATTTTCACGAGATGTTGAAGGTCGTTCTTCATTTATTGGGATACCAAACGGACTTGACAATTGCCTGGGTGTAGATAACGGCTCGTCATCATCGTCATTGTCATCAACTTTATGTTTGTGTAACAAGTTCCAATTATACGATATAAAAGCTATTTTTGCTGCCCTGTCTGTAGTCAATCTATTTCGTTTGTGACTATGTATATTCGCATGAGTGCTAAAAGATCGTTCAGTGGCTGCTGAAGTACAAGCAGCAGTTAGAATACGCACTACAACCCTACTCAGCAATTTGGAGCTGCAGAGTCCTCTCCACCAAATTACCGGGCTCATTTCGGCGACATGTTTCCATAGCTCTAATTGGCTAAATCAACACCAACGTCAATATTGAGCGATTGGCTCACGTCGTGTATAAACTCCATGGCATCCACTTCGTGTTCTTCTTCTAATTCAATGCCTTGCGATCATGGATCTAATAAATATGCAGCATAATGAATTGGTTTCAAACAATTATTTGTTCGCCTAAATACAGCATTTGTAATATATTTTTTATGATGCTCATTTAGAATGGATATATCCGGAAATGCAAATTTAAATGTAGACTTAATATCCTAGAAGGCTATATAAACTTCATTTATAAGTATTCCACTGCCTTCAAGTTTGAAAATTTTATCTGTTATAGGTTCCAGTAGTTTTATACAATTTTCTACCATGGTCCAGAAATTTAAATCCAATAAATTTGACTTTAATTCGCTTAAAATACTGGCATTTTCGTGAACTGCTAATATCTGTAATGCAACTTTGAATTTTTTTAAACTCTTTAACGCAGTGCTGTAACTGCCCCAGCGGGTTTTCCCAGGCAATTTTAATGTTTCACCTGAACCTTTTTCTTTTACAATCTGAGCTAATAAAACGCTCATACTTTGGTTTCTTTTTATTGCTTTTATTGTATCTGTGGAGATCTTCAATCTTCGCATAGCAAATTCAATGTAYGTGCTACACATCTCTGCGGTGTTATACATATGTGCATAGGAATTTTTAACTATCTGAAATGCTCTTTGAATATTATTTGCGTTATCTCCGATAACAGTTACAAATTTGTGGCCTCCATACACGTTTATAACATTGATTATGTCTTGAGATAAATATTGGCTTGTATGTCGATTCGTAAGAGTATTAAGGCTTTTAACAAAAACAGGCTCAGGTTTTGCAATAATGATGTTGATGATACCTTCATTGCGCTGATTGCTCCAGCCATCACACTGCAAATGTAAATCATTTATAGACTTCAGTTCGTCTGTAATTTCATTGACCATTTCATTATAAATAGTTTCCAAATGTGTTGTGGAGATAGCTTTTCTGGATGGTAACTTATAAAGTGGTTGCAAATCGTCAAAAAATCGTACCTACAGCGGATGTTCAACGATGGATAAAGGAGAACGGGTAACAAATATTGCCTTCGATAAGAGCTGATCTAGATAAAGTTTTTTTTCTGTTAAAACTTCTGATGAAGTCGTAATATTAGAAATTGTATCCGTCAAACTGTTATCCTGTGACATTTCATTATATGATTCAGCTTGCAAGGGCAGATTTGTGGCAGTTGTGCTAGTAACAGGTATTTTCTGTAATTTGTTCTTGATAACAGTTGGACATTTATAACATTTTAACAGATGACTAGTCATCTTGCTGACATTGCCAAATTGGTAAACTTTTTCACAGTGTTTGCATTTTACTGTTTTACTATTTGCCGAACTATTTCCCATACATCAGTATATTTCTCTCTGGGCATGATGTGATCTAAGGAAAAAAAACAGATGAAAAGACAGTAGAAATGCATAGAGTTGTTCTAAAGTATATTAACAGAGTAGGTATACCTACGAAACTAATATGAAATAAGTATTCCAAAAGAAGGAATTTATACTTTGCCCAATTTCAATGAATAAAAGTACAAGGTTTGCAAGGAATATAAAACTTCTATAGTCTAATATAACAAATATTAAAGCTCAAACTTACCGGTAAGTTACCGTTCATAAAAAGAAGTAAGTATCGAAGTCCGTAAGAATAGCAGTAGTTGTCAACCCAAAGCAAATCACGTATTTAAGCACTAGACAATCAAGAGTCCACAAAACAAAATCCAAGTCGTCAATTATACCAACAAATTAACACAAGTGCGCATAGTACGAAGGCAAAATAACGTGTGAGATAGCTAGATCACCAAGGCGTACGCCACCGCTGATTTTATTTAATTAGAGAGCATGGAGTATATGTATATAACGTATTTATTGAATTATGAAAATAAACGAAGTTAGATTAGCTCTAACTAGTAGTAATAGTACGTACTATTTGATATACACATGTATCTACACATTATCTAGACGTATGCTAAGTATGAAAAAACCCGAATATTATCCCATTCGGTAATTTTCCCCGGGTTCTTTCCCACATTGGGGTTTTTTACGGGTAAAATCCCACCTCTATCCCTATATGACAATCTTTTAAATTTCAGCTAGTTCTTTCACTTTACTGTATACAAATCAGACATATGTAAATAAAGTTATCGAATATAGCTTTTAACAAATATAGCCTTCAAGTTATTTCATCTTATGTCCAAAAATTGTCAAAATCGGTCCATAATTTTTTATGGCCCGAACAACGCCAAATTTTTTGGCACAAGTGTATATGGCGAACATATCGATCAACCTGTAAGTTCTATTATTGACAAGAAGAATATTTTTGTGATGACAGCATGCATTTATACCAAAAATTTCGAAAATCGGATTAATGCTTCAAATAGCCGCCATATAACTAATGTAAATATTATTAAAATTTCTGTTTTTTTTTTGTTTACATACTGAACGATAAAGGCGGTATAAACATGCGGTATAAACATTTATCATTCAATACGTAAAAAAATTTAATGCAATTCAGAAATAATCTATTTCTACTAACAGCGTATTCTCTTGACTAAAAGGGACGAAATCGCTTATTCGAAATTAACTTTATACCTTATACGGTATATTAGTCAAAATGTGAAAGTACCATGGGGGTTAGGTTATGAGAAAATTTATAAGAATTATATAGGAATTAGAAATTTCCGGTTGGCCTTCTACCATACATCGGTCAATATGTAAGATATCTTAGCAGAATTAAGTGAATGTAAATTATTGGGTATACTATAGTTTACTGTTAGAATATATATTCGAAACCAAATAAAATTACAGAGAACTAATCTTTTTAACTTTTTTAACGATAGTGTGAACATAGGCAAAAGCTGATGATAATCGTGCCCACTCCCCATAAACCACTAAAAGTGCGATAAGTCTAAAGGTATACATAAGTAAACTCGTCAGAGACATGAGAAGGTAGGCTTTATAGGAGCCGATGTTAAACTTTGTACTTTGGCAATAGCACCGCCCACATATAGGTAAGATTCTATATTGTGGCATCTAATAGACCGATATCAACCAAATTTAGTGCTGATATTCCTATGTTACTATTTAGCAAGAATGCGGGTAATCGGACTACAATCACGCCTTCTTCCCATAAACACACAGTTTAAAATTCCATCTGATTCTTTCACATTCGATGTTCGAATTCCTGGGTGACTTGATACCGCCTGTATCGGCTAATACGTGAGTAATGCTAATAACTTTGAGGAAGCACGTTTTTCTAATCATGATGCATCTTTGTGCCAGAAATGGATAAAATTGGGTAAAAATTCTATCTATATCCTATCCCCTTCTTCTTCTTTATGGCGTAGATAACGCTTGTGCAGTGCTAGTCATTCCTCCTTTTCACTGTTTGGCGCCAATGGCAGATGCCAAGTGTAGTCAGGCCCTTTTCCACCTGGTGTTTCCAACGAAGTGGAGGTCTTCCTCTATCCCCTATATAACTAATATCAACATGTTTGCACATCTGGCTGACTTTAGTCCATATAGGCATTGGTGATGGTATGTAAGCTACCTTAATGAAACCCAGGGGACATTTCATTCCTATGTGGGATGTTAATGGTATGTGGTATTGGCTAAAATAGATAAAATCGATTGAGGATGATGATGCATAATTTTCGCTTTAATTGTAATGCCCTCATGATTTCGACGAATAATGAGGTTCAACTTATTTCGCTTCATTTTCCAATATTGGTAATACCTAAAGGTATTTAGCTGGCTGTGATCCTTGCAAGTTCCATGAGTATAAAAAATTCGGTTACTTCCAAACTTAGCCTTTTCTTACTTAACATAAAGAGTAATTAAATAAGTGTGTGCTAAACTTAAAAAAAAATCATTGAGACATATCAAATGATGAGAAAAGTTTTTAGTGAACCGTACTCAAGTTTATATGTGGTTTACACTGTTTAAAAATAGTCGTGAGGTTTTAAAAGATTGAGAAAAAATCTTTGAAAATTTGTTTAGCTATATAAATTTTACTACAATAATGTTGGCTGATATATTAAATACGAGAGAAAGCCCTGTTTCGAGAATTTTGATTGAAGATTTGGGTAATATGAAGGTCTGTGAGGGTTACGAACCATATGGATTATGTGATGATCATAAAAGTTAACGAGTTTTTTATTAAAAAATTAGAATTCTCCCATTTTCGTATTCGTGTGATTTATCACCTTTTGACTATTTTCTATTTCCATAATTGAAAACCAATGCTAAAGAAGCATTTTGGGAGAATATCATATTTTTGTCGTTCATTTTGGATGTGCGTTTATAAATTTAGTTATACCTATAACTATACAACAAATAACTTCAATGCACAAAAATATAACATCTTATTGTTTTTTCCGAATTGAGATTCAAAAATATTGAACTCCAAATTATTTTATACACTTTTGAATGATCGTTAGTGGTGGGTTAAATGTCCAAAATGCCCAACTAATTGATGGAAATCACAACAAATTTCACAACAGCATTGCTTTGCATTTAAATATAATTATCTGCATTACAGGCAACCTTAGCATACATAGCACCGATTCAGCTGCAGACGATACATCCTATTTGCCAGGTGCTAATGGCTCCACCACCGCGTTAGGCAAGCGCCCGCTTTGCGACGCTACGTTCGTCGGCGTACAATCAAAGTAAGTATTGCGAAATTAGGTGGTCAGAATGTGTAAATTATTTACTGTGCTTATTATTAACCACACCTTGCCAGTGGGTAAAAAAATTGATTGCACTTTAATTGTTTTGACAACTTCATTTGTATTGATTACAGTCCGAAATGTAAATGCTCAACATAAATTTATTTTTAATTGCTGTTATTTACAGGTTTCGACGGAAATATTACCAGAAGACCTTGATCGGTTTGCTCATACTTTTGATAATCATTTTAATCATAGCTATAATAATCGTGTGTATAAGGCGTAAGTATAATGTAGTGTCGAGAAATTCTGATAATAACTTTCTCTCTTCCTCGCTCTCATGAAGGCCGCACAGAACCTGAAGTGTGTCGCAGCAACGAGTGTCTCCGCACAGCGGCTGGCCTCATTTACTCAATGGACGAAGAGACTGATCCTTGTGAGGACTTTTATAAATTTACCTGTGGCCGTTGGGCGGACGATCATCCCAAACCCGATTCGGCCACATCAAATGACTGGTTTCGTGAGCGGCAAGCGAAAATTATGCGCATGCTACGTTCCTTCCTGCAAACGAATATAAGCGAGGAGGAACCCGCCGCTGTGGGGAAGACGAAAATAATGTATCGCGCTTGCATGAATACGGAATTATTGGATAAGCGTGAGCTAGAGCCGCTGATATATTTTCTGCGGAAGTTTGAGCTACCACTTTTACCGAGCGTCTTTAATGTGACACTGCCGGAGGAGGTGTTGCGGAAGTACGGCGAGGAAACGAAATTTGATTGGTTGCGCAGTTTAGTACTCATTAAAAAGAACTTAGGCATGGATTTGATAGTGGGATTCGATATATTCCCCGATCCGGTAAATCGTACAATCAATCGCATAGCTTTGGGCACGCCCGAAACGGATTCTTCATTGCCTTTGTAAGTGCTGTAAATAAATAGTTAGAATTATATTTATATTAACATGAGAAATCTATAGCAACAAAGACGACATGCATAAGTTGTTGAATAAAATCAAACGGAAAACCATAGCCAACCACGAGGAGGATGATGAAGACAGCGACGAGTTGGAGGATGATATAGAAGAATCACAGAAGCACACCTCCTCAGGATTGTTGACTTATGTGGCGTATATCAAGAAAATGATTGAGTTATATGTGTTGTACTTAAATCCTGATGCGGAAGTTGAGTCCCTCGAAGACTCGATAAGCGAGATGGCTCTACAGGCTGTGAAGTTCGCGAAAAAAATGTACAAGGTGTGTATGGTTACGCTATATAAACAATTATTAGACTAGTTTATTATTAAAATCTAACACCATAAAGGCAATATGGAAAAATTTTTCGCTCGAAAACTTTTTTAAGAAGATTAAATACTTTTCATATTTTTTTGGATAGATACAAGTTACAGCAGTATCTTCCATTGCCTGGTGAGATGTCAGGTGGATATATTTCGACGAATACACTCTATTTTGCGGTTTCAATGATTTCAGAGTTAGCACCACCTATTGGCCATAAAATGTATTTGATTTAATCGTTAAGTGAGATCTACTTGATCAAAAATTTTAGAGTCACTTCGAATGATCGGGTCAAAAATATTCGGATATCATTGAGTAACGTGCCGGTCTTGATCATCACGGAGACGTACGGCCAATGACGCCGCCGGCCATAAACCGCAGCATTTTTCTTATTGACAAAGGCATTCAGCCAGAAATGAGTCTCATCGCTTAAGCTGTTTTTTGATGAAAATCCGGTTCATTTTGAAATTGTTGCTCAGTCCAATTCATTAATATACGACGATTTTGGGTGGTCAAACGGCTTCAGTTCTTGCGTCAACTCGATCTTGTAGGGATGTAGGTCAAGATTTTTTCGCAAAATTCGCCACAATGACGTCACAGAGAAGCCCAACGCTTGAGAACCACGTGTGCGGGACTAATTTGGGTCTTGCTCAATTGTTACATTACAGGCAGCAATATTCTCGACACTACGGGCACTTCTTTGTCTCACTGGTACGGGAACATTTTACACTGTGTCTGTGGATTTGTATTTTCCCACTAGACGCTCAATTGTTGATCTGACAGGATGATTGTAACGACTATAAATTGGACGTAGCGCTCTTACAGTTGAGGCCACTGCCTCCGATTTTGGGTAGTAAATTTTAATAACTTCGACTCATTGTTGGATCGTATAGCTTTCCACGGTGAAATTGCAAAGCTTAGTGAAGAGAAATGTCGCAAGAGCGGGAAGAAATATGCCATCATTTGTGGTCCTTATCGGTTTACTTTTGTAGTGTTCATATTGAAAAACCCGTTATTTGCAAGCTGCTCCAATAATATGCTTACCGTTTATTTTCAGTTGAAAGATGATGCCGAAAACTTGACGAAAACTCTGACAAACCCCATTGAGGACCTCGTTTATTTATCCGTCGCGGATTTACAAAATCGCACCAACAAACTAATTGCCCCGAATACAATACTCAACTGGGAAGCATACTTGCAGGTGATGATGGACGATACCATTCATTCACAAAACCTTAACCTTAGCGAGTTGACCATCATAACCAGCAATGCGGACATCGTTTATTTGCAAAGCCTCGTTGAGTATCTGGCAGATGCGTCGCCAACACATATCGAGTTCTACATCTGGCTAAGTGTCGTTGAGGAGTTGGTATTGCACACGACCAGCGAGATGCGATTGTTACACTCCGAATATATGCGTCTAATTGTGGGCACCGAAGGCAGTTCACCGCGTTCGCTGTATTGCGTGCATGGCGTTAATAGCCTGATGGGCATGGCTGTGAGCTACGTGCTGGCTGATGATTACTTCGTGCGCTACAAACTGCCGAAGGTGGAGCGTATGTTAAATGATATCAGACATGCTTTCGATATGCTAGTGCGTCGCACTTCTTGGATGGATGAGGAGACAAAACATGAGACACTACAGAAGTCGGCATCCATGAAAAGTTTTATTGGCTTTCCGGATTGGTTGCGCAATGCAACGGCGCTGAATGCACACTATGCGGGCGTGCAGGTGAATGCGAGTACACACTTGGAGAATATGATTGGCGTGCTGCGCTGGGAGATGCAGGATAAATTGGACAATCTCTACAGAACAGAACCATTCGGTTGGGCAACGGCACCATCGAATGTCAACGCCTTTCACACTTTCCAATCGAACACGATAAGTGCGTGTATTATTGTGGTTTACCGTTATCTGCATATTGTGCAATTTATTTTGTTGTTCTCCTTCTACAGCTATACCCATTGCCATACTGCAGTATCCTTTCTACGACCTCGGCATGGAGTGAGTAAATATTACAAAAGCACATTAGCTGCTTCAATTGGCACTTCAAATCTTTGCAATTTACACTTTTGAATTTTGTTTTGCATTTAATCATATTTTATTGGTTTACTGCGTGTGCTCTGCACCGAAATTTATTTACATATGTATATGAATTGAGTTTGTCGTCAGTAGCTCTTTTAATAAAATGAAATGCACCAACAAGTAGATTCAAAAGGAAGGAAAAGGAACTTATATATGTGTTATATTATTTATATAGTATATGTATATGTTTGTATGTATGTATATATGCATTCCTTACACTCATATCCATAGGAACTTTATGGCTTGACTGCAGCACAAATTGTAAATCGGATATTTTTGTTGCGAAATATTTTTCTCTCTGCAAAGGGTTAATTGTCTCAATTTTCTCAGAATTCCTAAAATTAATTTCGTCCTGAATCATTCAACATTTAATGAATAAATAATAATTATTGAATATTAAATATGGAGTTCTAAGGAATGAAACACAAAATATAAAATAAAAGTATTCATTTCATTTGGTACTGCTTAACAGGAAGGAAAGGAAACAAGATAGAAAGCAACATTTGTTATCGCTCTAGATAAAGTACTTTATACTTTTTTGTTGCAAAATAGCTTTGTTCAGGGAATTAAATTATAACTAAACTCTTCATTTCGTTCTATAGGTGCAACGTTAATGTATACTGAAATTGATATTTCAAAATTAATTATTTGTTACTAAGAGAGGAACTGTAACCAAAAAAGGAATTATAACTGTGTGGGTAAGCGCAAGTAAACCAGGTCGGTGTAATGCCGGCATCTAAAATAATATCTCTTATATACCGACCTTGACTGTACTGTGATAGTTTGGTCCAGATGAGTTTGAAAGATAGGTTAGGTTAGTCTGGTAGGCCAATGATCTTCGCATAGACCAATCCTTTGGTCCTTTGCTATACAAAATGAAGTTCAGTTACCGGGTCCATGAGCAGTAGTCATTCTTTAGGATGCCTGTGCTTGAGGCGAACTTCAACAGTGGCTTCACTCTTAATGTCTGTTCGAGTTTATTATACCGTGAGGACTCCAGATGCTAACTGCGTAGTCTTGCTAATGCGGGACAAGTGCACAAGAGCTGCTACATTGTTTCCCTGGCTTCTGCGGGTCAAGATCGTCGTATAGACGATGCATGTTGCTTATGTCTAAACGATACCTGTAATATTGAAAAATATTATAAGTAGCTCAAATCTAATAATCTCGGTTTATAATTCCACAATCTCTTCAAACTGTTTATTATCAGTTTTTTCCAGATAAAAATGATTTTGATAAGCTTACATTTCCGTGAAATTGAGCGAATCATTTAATAACTGCATATGTCGTACTTATAACTCATTTAGATATGGCAGCTGTGACATCGATCAAGTTAACCTTGAATGCTTTGAACTAAATTTGGAAGATAATAATGAACGAAATATTATTTCAAGTAGGTGGAATTGAGATTTGAACTTTTGTGTCGGTTAATAAGAACAAATAAAGAAGTTCTTAGTCGTGGCGTAACTGCATATTTTACACTCTTGCAACTTGCAGGAATCACCGCCCGACATCCTTCAGATCCCGGCAAAACTTCATATTAAAAACAGTTCCGAAATTAAACAATCACTATTCGATGAAATCGTGCATAAATTATTATAAAATTTGATATATTCTTTACTTATGTTGAGATTATTAATTTATAGTAATTATAATTTAGTTTACGTCAGCTAAAATTATATTAAAAACAAATGATATATACATATAGACTAAGCTCCAGACCACTAATATTCTAATTCAGCGGTAAACCACATACTCTTTAAGGAAATTAGGAAACCTGTGAAATTAGTTTATTTAAAATATCAAATCTTTAGACCAACCTAAACGGCTTAAATACAGATGGAAAGACGGAAATTATTTTATGGGGTATATTGTGAGGACAGAGAAAGGGACGGGCTGTTTGCATCGCCTCGTCACTTTGAAATTGCTAAGGTGTACTGCAAAACTGGTTTGTTAGAAAAACTATAAGTAATATATCAAGTATATAACATTTGTGGTGGTATCTACTCGATTTTATCTATTAACTATTATCATGCCACATGCTGATAAAATTTCCCTTGTGCTTCATTAAGGCCCCTCACATACAATCACCAATCTCTCACGGAGTAAAGTCAACCGGATGTTGGAAAATCCTGATATTATTTTTTTTGGGAGCTGGGTCGGATTTTCAGTTGATTTTATCCATTTTAGGCACAAAGGCACACTGTTATGAGCAAAACACGCTGCTTCATTTCCATTGAGATAACTCACATATTGGCCGATACATGTGGAAAAAGTCACCCGGAAGTTCGAAAACCTTTGTATCAGGTATATGGGAGATATTGACCCGATTCAACCTATTTTTGATTTACACACATACTATTTTTGTCGGAAATAGTATCCCCGAATTTCAATATATTATAGTATGTCATACATTGACTGATATTTGCGGTCAAAAGTCAACTATAGGAACTTTGGTCCAAGTTTTCGGTACTTAAGCGCTTGAACAGTTTTGGTTGGATTTGGACCATTTTTAGTCATGAAGTGGTATACTTCGAAGACATTGTCCGTAGAAAGTTTGGGTTAAAATAATGTGTATTCATTTATTTCTGTTATATTTATATGTATTGTGTAGTCGATTTTCTCACTGTAACACAAAAATATCCAAACATATGTGATTTCACCTAAATGTGGATGGGGCCACGTCTATCGTTCAATTTTTACCCCCTTTTATAAAGTGCTCCCATACCATCTCTGGTGCAAAATTTTATATGTCTGCCGTATTTATCGCAATTTTAGTACTTAGGGGCGGTTAACTCGGTTTTTGTATTTTTAGTGGTTTAGGAGATATGTGCATTAAAAAATCGTATATACGGATTCAACTCGCCTCGTCATCCTGGTCATTTACATTTCGATCTCAATCTATTTTGATTATTTTTAGATGAAAGAAAATATTATTTCATTCAGTGCTGTAACAATTCGGAAATCCCATCATTTATCCATTATTTGCACAAATTTTTACTTTAATGCTATTATAATCTTAGAAAAATATTATTTCACATGGATTAGCGGCTAATTTGTTGTGACTATATGCTCATTTTCATACTACTTACTGCACTAGATAATTGCTTCAGCACCAGCACAGAGCACTAAAGACAAAGTGGTGTTCCCTTTAGAACATTATTTTCAATACTCACTTTAATAAAATTAGAGCGCTGAATTATGGCTCTGTCGGCACAATTTTGGGGCACGAGCTGACGCATGGATTTGACGACAGCGGACGAATGTTCGACAAGAATGGCAACATGCTGCAATGGTGGACGAATGAGACGATCAAAGAATATATCAATCGCACAGAATGTTTTGTAGAGCAATATAGTCGCTACTATCTGCCCGATGTGGAAGAATATGTGAGTCAAATACACATCTATGTATATTTATCTGCACCTAATTCAACCTTCAAAACGTTTTCCAGGTCGACGGTGAGCTTACATTGGGTGAAAATATCGCCGATAACGGTGGCATGCGTGAGGCATTTCATGCTTATCGTATGTTTGTGAAAGAAAACGGCGTTGAACGGCTGCAATTGCCTGGTTTGGAGAAATACACGAATGAACAGCTGTTTTTCATTTCATTCGGAAATCTGTGGTGTGAAACGTATACGCCGGCGGCTTCACGTTATGCGCTCGAAGACTCGCATTGTCCCGGGAAGATACGTTTAAAGGGTGTACTCTCCAATTCTGAAGAGTTTGCGCAAACTTTCAAGTGTAAGCGGGGCGCAGCCATGAATCCGATGGAGAAGTGTCGTCTCTGGTGAATGGTACTAATGAATACAGGTCTATGAATGAGTCATAGTTAGTACCTTATTATTTGAGGAAATGTAATCAAATAATACGTAATTAAATATAGATATTTAATATATGTAAATTTATAAGTAATAGGTGTTTGCTCAAATTTGAACTTTTTTAATACTAGTGATATCACTAACAGTGAAAGGCTAATGACTGGCCTCTGCATTGTTGTATCTTGAGGTGATTTGTGAATCAAGGTGATTTTTATACAAATATTTATAATAAGATTTATAACTCTCTCATATGTGATTGCTTGTACCATAAATATGTTCGCTGTGTAATCTACATAATTGTATATAATTAAGTTCCTTTTTTAATATGAATAATAAGTTGTCTTCAATTTGAGAACCTTAGGAGAGTAGCGAAACGAGCAAACTATACCAGCGAACTCTTGCGGTGAAGCTAGCGGTTGCACAGCTCTCTGGTATAAATACTATTTAAACTTTGCTGTTGATTTCACCTCTCAAATTTTTGAAGAAAGAGAGAGAGCTCAAAGGTAACTAGCACTGAAATGGTGAATAGAAAGTGACTACATTTACAAACACTTGTACTGAATTAAAGGTTACGTCAGCAAGTCCGTATGGTAATAGTATCTAAATAATAACATAATGAATGTATCAGTACTTACATTGCATATTTTATATAAAACATTGTAAATAAATAACAAATATTTTTCATTCCACACAGTTTTTAATTCTTTTTATTTATATTAGCTAGAGCTCGAGAACGGCTGGTCCCTCCACCGGATCCTTTAAAGTGCTTAGTTTCTGAGATTGGAAATGATTCTAAGCACTTCTTGGCCAACAACATTGTTCAAGATTTAAGTTCGGTCGAATACAGTCCTGCGCATAATTAGTCAGGACACAAACCAATACCAGTCAGCTGATTGCTGAATGATCACTWTGATTAGCGGACACAAGCCTTTAGCCTTGTATTCGTAGACTAGTAGTTTCACTCTAACTTAGTGAATTTAAATATGTAACTATAGACATACATATAAGTATGTGCATATGTATCATGTGGCGTGATTCTTCAATCCGTTATACATATGTATATTTAAGGAGGTATTGAATAAAGAAGCAGTCTTTTCTGTGACAGACGGTTATACACCACAGACGTGCTCTTTTAATTGACAGACAACTTTTAGGACAATTTTTGTACAAACATATTATATAGAACCATTTCCATAAATAAATCGCTTGCCAAGTCGTTGGAAGTTTGCGGAATCAACTTGGAGTTGCCATGTTTCGCGTGTTCGGTCGACGGAAAGCAGTCATCCTTGTTTATTTATACACCACAAAACAATACAAAAAGTATAGTTTATCAGCAAGCTTTAAATTAATTAACAGACTGTGTCATAATAGTGTGTGTCTGTCAATATTAAATTGAAACCTTTCAGAAAAACGTTGTTTTGTAAGTAAGCAACATATATGTAATTAAGGGGTATTCTTCTCTAGAACTTTGAAAAATTCAATTTTTTTTCATATATTTGAAGTTTAGACCCATAAGAACATATCCTCCAAAGGATTTTTAAAAATTAAAATTATTTAAGAGCTACAATTACTTTAGTAACGCAGTACCTAGCTCACTAATAAATGACTTAGACTGCCTAAAATTTGACTCACTTTTTTAAACTCTTTTTTCTCGAAACTTCTTTTTTCCACCCGGTACCGGCATTATCTCTAGTTCTGTACAACCGATTTACTTGAAATTTTGTGTGAACCTTCTTTATATAATCCTTTATCGTTTCTACTAGCATCGTGTCAAAACTTTTGTTTTTAATATTTAAAAAAAATTCAGGAATATCAAAAAAAGCGTACAAAATGATTTTTATTTTCAGGCGTCGCTATTTATCAAAAAACCAAAAAAACAAAAAAAAGAATTCAGGAATTCCAAAAAAAGCATAAAAAATTATTTTTATTTTCAGGCGTCGCCATTTTTCAAAAAAAAAAAAAAAAAATTTTCGTGTTCCTTGAGATAGGGACTAATCAGCATCCTTACTGATTAATAATTTCTTTTGATTTTTTTTTCAGACCACCAGCAGAGTCAAGATCAATGTCACGAGGATGCGTCATTTGTTTTACACCTGTCTCTCATTAATTATTTTAATTTTTAATATTTTTTTTGTAAAATTTTTTTCCGGTATTCTTAAGATATCAATAAAAACACCATAAAAAAATGGATGGTAAAAATATTTTTTGGTTTTTGTTTCTTTATTGTACAAAAAACTGCCCAAAATTTGATTTCTAGACTAGAATAGCCCCTTAACCGAAAATAATAATAAAACTTCATTAATACCGAATAATTTTTTATTGGTTATTAAATTTATTTTATACAAAGTTTATGCTTGTTATTTCTCGATTGAGGCAATATAAAGTTTGCCGTATCAGCTAGTAATTAATAATTTTGAAAAATTTTAAATTTTTTCGAAAGACTCAGTACAATTATGGCTATTTCAAAAGCTTTTCTATATTATTATGAATGAAACTGTGACATTAAATCGGTATTGGGCGCAGATGCTACACTGAAAATCATCACAAAAATTAATCTGCAAAAAAGTCAAACGCAAAGGATTTTATAATTAATGACATTTTTCATATTTTTAAATAAGCGGAATCTTCTCCTTTATTTGAGCATGGCACAGGAAGAGACTAATTGTACTCTTTCACACACAAAAAGCTTCTAAAAGAAGCTCAAGTTTTCACAAGCTACTCACCTTTTCCAGCAACGCTCAAATGGATACGACGGAGACAACGAATCAATCTCCATTTACATTGTCATATACACAGGATTTGTCCGGACAGTAATAGCGCTGGTTTTCTTCCGCCGCGCAAAACTGGATTCGGTAGAGGTAGCTAACGAACGAGCGGCTGGTCAGTTGCTCCCAGCACCTGTAGAGTCAGGACAAACATTTTCGCTCGACGTGTTTCTGTGAGTGGTGTAAGCCGAAAATGCAGCGTTCGTTAGAACAGAGGTACGCGATTAAATTCTGTGTGAAACTCGGGAGATCTGCGACAGAGACGTGTGATATGACCAAGCTGGCTTACCCAAATCATGCTTTCGGTGGCACCAGAGCGTTTTGGAGGGCCGGGAAGAGCTCGTCGATGAATGAGCAAATTCAAAGTGAAAACGCAGTTTATTGTCCGTTTTTGATACCAAATCCAAAAATTTGGAGAAATATTAAAAATATAGATAATATTACGAGGCGAAAACCAGTGGAAAGACTTTCGAAAAAGCTCATATCAATTTGGAAATTGAAACTGAAAAGAAGTGTAATTGGTTCCAGACACAGATTTCCAAAGAAACGCATATTCATGTACTTTGCAAAATAATTAAACAAAAATATGATTAACTAGCTGACTCCGCAGGACTTGTCCTATGTGAATTTATGTATTCTGAAGTGAGAAGAAAGAAATTTATATTGTGTTAAAAATCATTTATTTTCAATTTTTCTAAATTTTTTTCAATGTAACGCACCAACTCAAGGAGCTTCTCAAAAATTTGCACACACTCTACCATTCACAGAACGCAATGGCTCAAATGAAGTTTAACTACGAATATACTTGTAGAAGCAATCGTCGTTTTTCGGGCAGTAAATTCGTCCTAAGGCATTAGTTGAGAACACACCTGGATAACAATCTACTGGTTGGCCTTGCTTTCTGCGTAACTATTTCTTAGATGTATATATGTATGTCAAGACAGTTCCGAATAGAGCAATGTTCTCGCAAACGGAGCACTGACGCAAGTTGAGAAAAAACTCGTCAAGGTCAATTTTGTTGCTGGTTTGGCCATAATGAATTCCCTGCGCTAAATGCACATTTTGGCAATTGAACTGCGCGACGCAAAACGTTCATAAATTGCAAAAGTATCCGTAAATATCCTGCAAAGCGCTTTATAGCAGTTCACGCATCGACCCATTTGACTTGCTGATCTCATCTCGTTCAAGGCCAATAACCGCCATGTTGCTTCCCTTGATGACATATTTGCAAACGTATTAGACATGAATTTTGAATGGGAATTAGACAACAGTTGTGAATATGGTACGATCCATGTGTTATCGACTTCGATATTCACTCCTCCAGTTTGCGTTTCCGAAAGAAAAGCAATGGAATAATGTTTCGTGCATTTATTGTCAGACATGAAATCCGAAGTGGTATTGTGGTGTCCGCAAGGTCCATGAACCATATTGGTTTTCATCGCTTCGTATAGTACTGTATCTTTCCCGGCATTAGGAATTTCCTCAAAAATGATTTCATCAATTTGATCTGGTGTAACCACCATGCACCATCCAATAAAGAATGTATGCATGCGGCGACCCTCTGTTTTGTAACTCAACAGAGTACATCCAGCATCTGACGACCCCATATATACTATACGTTGCTTCAAGATAAAGTCCCTCAAACATCGTAGCTGTTGTGTGAAAAGTCGTGCTGTGTCATCGTGATGATCGCTTCCACACGTATGTCATCGCATCCTGGAAGTACTCGTTCATGCGTAAGTTGACGGCAAAAAAAACGCCGGTCGATATTATCGCGACCTCCTCGGGGCTTCACTTCGCTGAGTAATTTTCCATAATTTTTCTTTTGAATAGAAGGAAAAAAAGCAAGCGACCGAAATTGAACGATTCAAATAATTTACAAATCAAAATATTGAAAAACCCTTGGTTGGTAACCGTTGGTTACGGCTATAGCGTATTTGATGGAACGATGAGCTGTATGAGATATACGACGACATTAGATAGCTCAGCGATTTAAAAACATCGGCTACGCTGGCCGAATGGACAAAAACGCTCGAGCACTGAAAGTATTCGACGCAGTACCCACCCGCAGGAAGCAGAGAAAGAAGAGACCTCCATTCCGTTGAAAGGACCAGGTGGAGAAGAACCTGGCTTCACTTGGAATCTCCAATTGGCGCCATCTTACGAAAGAAGAAACGACTGGCGCGCTGTTGTTAACCCTAAAAAAATACAAATTTCTCGC